TACTCTTCTGGCTCCTGATCTTATCCGATTTGTACCTCCGCTGCTGACACTTGGCCTGTGACCTGATTTCTCTGCTGTCTATGCTTGATCTGCCTGACTATTACCAACCCTGCTCGTCTGAGCAAGATTTGTGCCAAGCTGTCCACCTTTAACCTGTCCTGCTTCTTCACCTGCCTGTGGACTTCCACTCTCACGCACATACAACTGGACTGATCATAGGCACTCATACCTCGTCATGCTCCTGTGGCTACTGTCCCACCACCAGTGGCCCTCGAACCGGAGCTGTAGGGGAGGTCTGCCTCTTATGTCAGGCTCACTATCTAAGGTATGTGACAATACCTTTTACATTGTTTCTGGTGCATATTAGCCTTTATTTTACAAAATCCAGTTTTAAGATGCTACATACCTTACAATATTGCAATCTACAAATATATATTTACCAGCAACCAGGTTGTGCATACCTAATTGGATATAAGTTGAATGTATTTTTTAAGGAAGGCTTATGCATGGTGCAATCAATAATGCCTGGCTAACTTTAAACAAACTTCCTTGATCATTTTTAATTCTGTAATAGAACAATAGGATTTAACCCCCCCGGCAGTATTCCCGAGTGTAGATCCGGGTAAAGTTTCAGTAGTACCAAAAGCGGTAACCCCGGACTACACTCGGATTACCCTGCAGCGTTGCTCCGCAATTCCTGTTTCACTTACCTTGTCCTGCGCTCTTGCGATGTCCCCCCTGCAGCGTCCCCTGCCATGTCCTCCACCCGATGATGGCATCCGTTCTTCCAGGTTCCGTTCCCTGCGAACATCGGTACATACGAGGGACGGAACCGGTGGGAAATTCAAAAATGTAAAAATGTGACATTCATTAAATACACTAAAATCTGATAGTATTATAAATGTACTGTATCAAAGCATTTCACATACATTTTGTCCCTAGTGGTTTGTCCTGTGCCCTGCCTGCATTTTTACTGTTCTTTCTGCCTGGAAACTGAGAAAAGTCCATGGCGTCCAAAATGCGTCCCTTTAAGTCAAAAGGGGTTTTAGAACAGCTAGAGAACAGCAATAGTAAATCAGAACCACTTGCAGAATTGAGTGATGATTTGTGGGGAAATTTGTCACCAGACACTGAAAACGATTTTGCGACTGAAAGCGATGTGGTGACACTTTCAATTCATCAGTTACAGGAAGAAGCTATAATATTGATGGCTTCATCACATGCAATAGTAGGTTTGTAGTCTACTTATTGCAATGCCCGTGTAGAAAACAATATATTGGGAGAACTACGAGGAAACTAAAAGACCGTTTGAGAGAGCATGTCAGTAATATTAAGAAGGGGAACAAGGAACATTGCTTGTCAAAACATTATCGTTTATTCCATAATAATGACCCCACTTCACTGACTTTTGCTGGTATAGATATGGTTAAGACTCAATTGGAGGGGGAACTAATAGAAAGAGGACAGTCTCGCAAAAAGAATCCAAGTGGATCTATGAATTGGACACTTTTTATCCCAAAGGGCATAATGTTGAGTTTGATATTAACAGTTTTATTGATAATAGCTGATTTTGGTTGGTGGTTTACATGTGCTATCAATTTATACAATTTATTTTTTTATTATTATCATCTGATGGGCTCACTATTTTGTATTGTTATTTGTGTGATTTTACATAATTAACGCTTGATACTTTCACAATTTTATTATTATTAATTTATAACATATTATTAACCATGGATACAATGCAGCCTTGTATTTATTGGTTTTTTATATATTAACTGTTTTATTATGCATTATGTGTTTTACCATGTTGTGGTTCTTGGTCATTATGAGTATACACTTGATTATGCTATTTTGTCTACAGGGACATTGTTTATTTCCTATATATGTTTATTTTTAACACCACATCTGTATACGTTTTGTATTTTATGTAAACTGCATTTATTGTATATTTATACTGAAGACACCTTAGAATTATATTAACATATATGCTTTAAACATTTTATGGTATATCGATGTTGATTCATCTATATACATGCGTTTACATTACATCTGTTAGGTGTCTTCACTATATTTTTTGTGTGTTGTTTCCAGCCCTGTATGTATTGTTTTTTTTTGGCTAACAGCTGTTAAGGATTATGATGAACGATAATATATTCACTGCATAGCTGTGCTTGTATCTGGCATTGTAGTTGTTGGTAATTAAGACCACAACAAAATGGCGCTGGACTGAGATGCGGACATCGTAGCGATGTCTGTTCTGCGCATGCGCGAGGACGCCGGGAAAATGGCGGACGCGCTTATACGATTGCCTAGACACTATTTATATGGGGTTTGGAGTAGATGTCTGGTTAGCTGACACACTCCCTATGAATACGTGCACATGGCACGAAACGCGTCAGGGTAAGAGCAGCATATCCCAGACATTACGCCACCGCATGGAGCGGCGGCCATCTTTGTACACCTTTATGGTCAGTTTTTATTTATGCAGTCCTTGTCTTTCTTTTGGACCAATAAATTTTTATTTTAAACGGTATCACACCATCCTGGCTTTTTTTCTTGGGGACCCTGCTGAGTCCATTACTTGCAGAGTCTCCTAGGGGACAGCTGAGGGGTGTTTTAGTGTGGTAACACACGATCCATTAGAAGATACCTTGGACGGACTGCTGTACTTGGATGATGACCCTATCCATCTATGAGACAACTTCGTTTGGATATCGGGATACCATCTATATGCATATTTGAATTATGCATCTGGTGAGTGCATGATTCAATTACTCTGATCACGGAAGACGCACGTTTTTCAGTCACCATTTATTGTCTAAAGGACTATTATTGCTTTTTTGCACAGTTTTTTGGCACTTTGTTATCACTTTACATATATATGGTTTATAATTATACTGTACTTCAGCGCTGCGCCCCCTCTTCTTTTTTGTATGTCTTTTTGAGTCTTTTGGTACTTATTGGCGCATAGCAGCTTTTCCATCTAGCGCTCACTTTATCTCTATTTTTTGAAGTGCCCAGCAGTGACACCAGTCAGTGCCGCCTATCAGTGCTGACTATCAGTACCCATCATCAGTGCCGCCTATCAATGCCGCCTATTCATGCAACCTCATTATTGCTGCCTATCAGTGCCCATCACTGCTGCCTCATCAATGCACATCAGTGAAGGAGAAAAATTACCTGTTTGCAAAAAAATTTTATAATAGAAACAAAGAAACTTTTTTTTTTCAAATTTTTCAAATTTTTTTTGTTTATAGTGCAAAAAGTAAAACACCCAGCAACGATTAAAGACCACCAAAAGAAATCTCTATTTATGATAAGAAAAAATGATAAAAAATGTCATATGGGTATAATCTTGCATGACCGCGCAATTGTTATTCAAAGTGCAACAGCACTGAAAGCTGAAAATTGGCCTGGTAAGAAAGGGGGTATAAGTGCCCGGTAGGCAAGTGGTTAATAGCTGCCAAGACATCATCACACCTCTCACTTTATGGCACACTGAGCTAGGTGAAGCAAAGTTCCTGCCTGGCTAATCTCAAACCCTGGAGTGGAAAAACATATATTTGCCTCCCATTCCATGATCCTGTGTCCAAAACAAAACACGCACCCACACATACTGTGGATTTGAAAGCCCACATGAATTGTTAACATTTGGGGCTCATTCACACTTGACTGTTTTACCAACGCCCCTATAGCGTTTGACAAGCGTTGGTCCGGCGTTTGCGGAGCATTTTTAACGCTCCGCAAATGCCGCATGCGCAGTTTAGCGGTGGTTGCTAGGCGTTTGCCGAGCATTAAAAACGCCCCAAAAACGCCTATAATGAAGTTTGAATGGTGTTACCACTCCGCAAATGCCCCGCAACCGCGTTGCAATGCACCGCAAACGCCGGCCGGGCGTTTGCGGAGTGGTACCATAGACTAGAATAGGAGACTTCAACGCCTCCTGACTCGACCAGAGGCGTCCGTTTTTGCCGCGATGCGATGCTAACGCTCCCGTTAGAACAGCACCATGTACTGCAATGTGCAGAATTGTCCAAGGCATTTGGGAAGCGGTAAAAACGCTTCCCAAACGCCTCTCTGCTGCCTGCACACAATGCTAGTGTGAACGTAGCCTAAAAGCTACAAATGCCTGTCAGACATAATAGTTTAAACATACACTATATTGCCAAAAGTATTGGGACACCCCTCCAAATCATTAAATTCAGGTGTTCCAATCACCTCCTTGGCCACAGGTGTTTAAAATCAAACACCTAGGCATGCAAACTGCTTCTACAAACCTTTGTGAAAGAATGAGCCGCTCTAAGGTGCTCAGTGAATTCAAGCGTGGTACCGTGATAGGTTGCCACCTGTGCAATAAGTCAATCTGTGAAATTTCTTTGCTACTAAATGTTCCACGGTCAACTGTTAGTGGTATTATAACAAAGTGGAAATAACTGGGAACAACAGAAACTCAGCCATGAAGTGATAGACCACGTAAAATGACAGAGCGGGGTCAGCACATGCTGAAGCGCACAGTGCGCAGAAGTCACCAACTGTCTGCAGAGTTATTAGCTAAAGACCTCCAAACTTCGTATGGCCTTCAGATTAGCACAACAGTGTGTGGAGAGCTTCATGGAATGGGTTTCACTGGTCAGGTGGCTGCATCCAAGCCTTATATCACCAAGTGCAATTAAAAAACGTTGGATGCAGTGGTGCAAAGCACGCCGCCACTGGGCTCTAGAGCAGTGGAGTCCTGTTCTCTGCAGCGATGAATCACGCTTCTCTGGCAATCTCATGGACGTGTCTGGGTTTGGCGGTTGCCAGGAGAATGGTATTTGCCTGACTACATTGTGCCAAGTGTAAAGTTTGGTGGAGGGGGATAATGGTGTGTGGGTTGTTTTTCAAGGGTTGGGCTTGGCCTTTTAGTTCCAGTGAACGGAACTCTAAAGGCATCAGCATACTAAGAAATTTTGGACAATTTCATACTCCCAACATTGTGGGAACAGTTTTGTGATGGCCCCATCCTTTTCCAACATGTGCAGCAGTACACAAAGCAAGGTCCCCAAAGACATGGACAGAGTCCTGACCTCAACCCTATAGAACACCTTTGGGATGAATTAGAGCGGAGACTGTGAGCCAGGCCTTCTCGTCCAACATCAGTGTCTGACCTCACAAATACACTTCTGGAAGAATAGTCAAACATTCCCATAGACACACTTCTAAACCTTGTGGACAGCCTTCCCAGAAGAATTGAAGCTGTTGTAGCTGCAAACGGTGGGCCAACTCATTATTGAACCCTACAGACTAAGACTGGGATGCCATTAAAGTTCATGTGCTTGTAAAGGCAGGTGTCCCAATACTTTTGGCAATATAGTGTATTATTCATGTTGTGTATTACTACCATCAAAGACTAAGTGCAAAATAATTGCAAATATAGTTTGTGCAGTAAGAGAATGTATGATAATTACATGTAAAGTAGGGATGGTAAATCAACTTGTGGGGTTGGGGGTTCATCAAATCCTGCTTGAAATACATGAAACCCAAATTTAATTGTGAACCAAGCTCAACATACTACAATTAAAATATATGAAAACATTTATTCATATACATTATAAAAAATAACCATACGTTAGTTCACAAATATTTCCATACAACCAAACACAATAACTTTGTTAAGTTAAGAAAGTTTTTTAATGTTATGTCAGCAGGTTGGTAGATCACTATAAGTCATGTTATCCTTTGCGTAGTTTTGTAGCTCAACACATTTCTTGCACTTGGTCCACTTCTTCAGTAGCCAAAGGATCTCTGCACTATCAATCTTCTAAATAGAAATAATCACAATTACAAAAATTTTTAGACATCAAAACATCCCAGTCTTTGTACTGCACATATCCTGGCCCTGAAACATGGAGGACCCCCGGCGTGAATCAAAGGAAACAGGAGACCACAGCCCAAACAACCATGCAGGACCTATACAGACAGAACAAACCCACTCCCAGGACACACACCCTCCCAGACATTTCTACGGAATATCAGTGGACCAACAAAGCTAAAAGCTCTGCTCTACATGGGGTAATATATGACATAATTATAATCTCTAAAAATTGCTATACCATGTTGGATTTTATTTACCATAATACATCTTCACCATACAAATCCACTCTTCACAGGGCCATACAGACCAAGGTATCTGATTCAACCACCAACATGCCACTCGTACTGATAGAAAAAGTTATATATAATAATAGATCTGCCACAACTCACATATAGGGTCCCCGTTGAAATATGTAGACCTCAATATCAAAACTTGAGAATATATATATATATATATATATATATAAAACAATTTTACCTCAACACAAAAAATAAAAATGGCGTTATACATTGTGGTCCCCTCTTTGTTCAAGCTCTTTGTGCTGCAAACCCCTCTCCTATAAAATATAGTGGAAAGTTCTAGGCCAGGGTTTCCCCAGCGTGAAACATTGCCCCATCAAAAATGTTATTTTTTTAATTTTTTTACTTAATTTTCTATTTTTATTCACATGTATTTATTTTTGTTCTGCATTTGTTTATGGTGATGCAGTGGTTGTGCTGCACACAGCAGAGGCCAGGCACATTCCTCAATTTTGACACATGAAGCATTTTCTCCCAGGCATTCAAAAGGCAGTTTTAAATATTTAAACATCTATTTAACTCATCATAGTCAGGGCTGAGGCATAGTTTTGAGGGAATACCTATGGCCATGGATTACCTGCCCTTACACAATGCAAACAGAATGCAAGCAGCAGTTAATAGGAGTGAGGGGAATGGATTGTACACAGACCAGAGGACAGGGCAGGCACCAACAAAATATTAATGGTCATAGATTGTCTGCCCTTCCTCAAATCTCCCATTAACAGTAACACATACTGTATGAGCAAAGCAGTCTGGAAGCTGACATTGCTGTCATAGAGTGGAGGTTGTCTTATGTTTGTGGCAGAGGAAGTCTTAGCACTTGTAGTCTGCTGTTTTTGATAAGTTGTCCAGCATAGCTGGAGTGTCATATTGTTTATGTGTAGAATATGGAAACAGAGCTTGTGAGAACCTTAAGGAAAAAAAAAATAGGAACTATATAGATAAAATAAAAAGCCCCAAGGGAGAATTGGTCCACTCAAATAAGGAGATCGCAAAGGTGTTTGTGGATTATTACAGGAAGTTGTATAATATCAACCCATACGATGTAGTAAATAATATGGAAAAGGAAAAATAGGGAAAAAAGGAAGATATATTTAAAAAAGGCGGGCCTACCGAAACTAAAAGAAGACCAACTAAATTCCCTTGAAGCAGAAATCACACAAGAAGAGATAAAAGTAGCAGTAAAAAGCCCAGGATGGCTGATTACAAAAATTAGTGAAATAATTCCCAAATGGAAAAATATATGAATGCCCTGGGAGGAAAGATGGACATGAGGGGAGAATCTTTACAGGCTCATATGGTACTGTTACATAAAGAAGGGAAAGATGCCTCGCAGTGTTCGAGTTACAGGCCAATTTCATTGTTGAATTTAGACACTAAGTTATATGCAAAGGTCTTGGCGAATAGGTTGAAGGAGCTTATGCCTGAATGGATACATGGAGATCAGGTGGGCTTTGTCCCAGGAAGGGAGGGCAGGGACAATGGGTTGAGATCCCTGATGCTGATACAGAGAAGTAAAAAAGGGGAGATACCGGCGGTGGCCCTTTCAATTGACGCCGAAAAGGCCTTTGATAGAGTAGACTGGGGCTTCATGCCTTAGAAGCCCTGGGAATTGGAGCTAGAATGAGGGAATGGATTGGAAAGCTGTACAGTAAGCCCTCCGCAGTGGTAATAGTAAATGGGGAAAAAACAGAGCCCATTGGGATGTCAAATGGAACAAGGCAGGGCTGCCCTCTGTCTCCCTTATTATATGTTATGTCACTGGAGCCACTTTTGTCACACGTTTTTCAATAAGAAAGAATGGAGATATAAGGGGAATTCAGATAGGAGAAATAGAACATAAAGTGGTGGCTTTTGCTGATGATCTGCTGTTTTTATGTGGGGAATCCCAGGATAACACTCCCAAATCTAATGAAACTGCTGAAGGAATAAGGGGAACTATCAAATTTAAAAATCAACCCAACAAAAACTGAGATCTTAAACATAAATATCCCAAAAAGCGAAAAAGAAAAAATACAAAAAGAATTTCCCTTCATTTGGAAAGAAAGAGATATAAAATATTTGGGAGTAAGGCTTAGTGCGGCGTATAAGAACTTGTATAAACTAAACTATATTTCATTAATAAATGAAGTGAAGGGGGAATTAAAAACTTTAGAAAGAGGATTTCCATCATGGTTAGGACGTAGAAACCTGGTAAAAATGATAATTGTACCAAAAATTTTATATAGATTTCAAATGATCCCAATTAAACTCCCGGAAGCTTTTTTTAAAGTAATAAAAAGAATGATAACAAGATATATCTGGAGGAAGAAAAAACCGAGGGTGTCCCATGAAATATTAAGTAGAGATAAAGAGAAGGGGTGGTCTGGGAGTTCCAGATATAAAGAGATATTACAAAGCAGTAATATTAGGGAGAATTTTTGACTGGATGTTCAATTTAGAGGGGAAAAGTTGGGTAAAAATCGAAAATACACTTAGTGGAACTAATTTGAATAGAATAATATGGTTACCGGCACAATATAGAGGATTGAAGGAGGGCTTAAGTTTGTACACTGTAAACGTGTTAAGGGAATGGGATAAAATACACAAATATATGAAATGGGAATTTAACTCTATACTAATGCCACTAATGCAGGCCATGGATGTATCGTAATTCGGTTTATCCCCCCGATTTTCGGTAGGATTAACGAACTATCGGTCGGTCTAAAAAACTTACCTGACCACCAATTATTACGAAAATCGGGCCGATTAATGAGTAACCTATAACGGGAAATGAGTCATTTTTATTTTTAATTTGTAAAAAAAAAAAAAAAAAAAAAACCGGAAACGAAACTTCGTACGCTGCAAACTTCTCTTTCCAGGTCACTGCACATGCGCATAAAATTTTTGAAAGGGGAAACGATCGTCCGTTTTTTGACCATCATTTTTGAGGATAAAGTCGGGCGTTTTTTCCGAAAATTTTCCAACATCACCGATAATCTGAAAGGCCAAAATACACGAAAAACGGCCGACGAAATCGTCCACTAACGATAAGATAATCGGTAGATTTTTTTTTCCGGACGAAAAATCGGCCGATTTTCGACCCATCTATGGCCTGCATAAGAAAACACAGAATTTTTTTCCCCCAGGTAGAGAAGAGATAACAGGCAGATGGTTTATAGAGGAAGATGTCCAACTTAGAGATATAATGGGGGAAGGGAAATTGAAGACCTTTAAAGAGTTGGAAAAGGAAAAGGGAAATATTTTCACTAGATTAGACGAGTGGCACTATTATCAATTAAAAGGTTTTTGGGGAAATCTCTGCCAAAACCACTGAGAATGAAAAAGGATTGGAATTTGTTTGAAAGGTTGCTGGATGCAAGGGGTGATAGGAAACACGGAATAGCTAAAATATATAGAATCCTCACAGATTTAGATACAAACACTAAACCAAGGCACATAGTGAAATGGGAAAGAGATATGGGGGTGGTATTAGATGAAGAAAAACAACAAAAAAAATAAACAGATTAGTTCATGGAAATGTAAGTTTGAGGGATGTAGAAACAAATTATAAATGTTTGACAAGAT